TCCAGTAACAGTGAACATTACCGCTAGCCTCCTCACCTCCACCGCCACGCATGGTATCCCATACGTATATTTGACGCAATCATGGGCCGATGCACATGGAGTCAACTGCATGAAGCCCAACACGAGAGCGAGCCCGGGACTAGTTGACAGCGTCATCTCCCAGACCCGCGTGTGCACCTGCGCAGGCGCTTACTCAATCTTCCGTCGTCCAATCTTCCGGCCCCTTTGGAATTCCTGAGCCAGGTCAGAAGTGTACCAGGAAAGAGGCCCTAGACTGTACCACATCATTCCTCCCAATGTGTACGATCGGCCCCGCATGACTACCGCTACCCTCCCCGCCTCTCCCCAACGACAAGGCTAGACGCCCATGTGGCCGGGATACGCTTCTTAGATGCTGTGAACGATAGCCCCAGCAACCGGGGCTATCATGCAGTTTGAGAATAATTCGTTGTCGAACGTCGAGCTGACACGATTTGGAAGATTCTGTGACAGCAGCAGCCACTTGGAAGAGAAAATAAAATGTAGTGAACCGAAGCACTCTCATTCGTTCAGAGGGAAAGTGGGTGTATGAGAATAAACCATATTTTCTATCCTTGCTACTCCCAACGATTGAGTGCGGACGATCGGCCGAAGGTTGTAGCAGCAGCAACCGCAAGTAACGCATTGACTGGTAGTGACAGGGGCTCATATGAGGCGGGAAAGGGTCCCCTGACTAGGGCCACGCAATATCTACGCACGATAAGGCTCAACAGACATGCGGGTGCACACGTCTGATCATCTTCAATGCGCAGGCGGATGACGCTGACCGGATGCCGGGGGTAGTAGTATTCAGGGCACACGGGCAAGCTTCTCTTATCAGGTGTCTGTGGGTGCCGGGGAGGAAATTCCGAATGGCTGATGGAAGTCTCCCTCGGACGTTCTCGCCATGAGAGGATAAGCGCCGGTGTTGCAAGTCCGCTCTACTTGTGCGGCGTGGTGCGGGATTTCCGAGAGGCTGCCCCTAGAGGAGCCACTTTGGCCCGTCGTTGGAACTATAAGCCATTATTTTCACAGCTTACTTTCTCTGAAGGTGAAACAATTTGCTGGCTACAGTTCAGAGAGACCATTCTCTTTCATTCAAGGCAAGAAAGATGATCATCCTCTTCGGACTCCATTTACCTAGCCCCCTTTTCTTAGCACCCTCGTTTCCTCACCCACCTCGTCATGGAAGCTTCAGTCTTGTCCAAGGCCCCGACCATATCCAGGAAAGTCAAGAGGCTGGAGATTATCCTAATTGGTTTCGTTTCTTATGCCTACGTAGGCAACCGCTCCCGCTCGAGCTGGGGTGCAAGGGCCTTGTGAGGTGGCTGCAGGGAATGGAAGTCGAAGAGCGGCTGGTCAGTTGAAGGTGCTAGTCGCGGTCGAGGCGACGAGCGGATGATGAGACGTGCGACTAGGGACCGGCACGAGCGATTGGCGGTGAGCAGTCCTCCATTGGCCTTGACCAAATAGGTGGGGCGCATAGAGCTCATTGAGACTTTATCTTGTCGATAGGCGTTGGCCTAGAAGTAGCGAGAGTCAAACACGGTCGACTCGTGGCATCATTGCCATTTCGTTGCCGTCAAGAATGGGAGGATAGAAGGCGACTAGCCTAAGCTTCCTCTTCGCTTTACTTCTCATGCGCTCTCGTGGACACGATCGGATGTCGATCACCTCCGTCCTTGTCAACGGCCCCCCCGCCTGACCGAGCCCGACCGGTCTAGCAGTGAGGCTGGTAGACCCATTCTATAATCGAGTAGGGGGTCATTCGGAGCATGGAAGGGGGAGCGGATTAGAGGGTGGCTGCATCCAGAGCGGCACATATCCGGAACGTTGCATATGGTTCCACCGCGAGTCAACCCCGACTGGCCGCTCTCGACTTCAAGGAGCGAGCCCTTACGCACACTTTCAATGGTTCGACGAATACTCCGACTCTTCGTCCAGTTGGCAGTAAATAGCCAGCCGATAGATGCCGAAAGCAGCATGCCATAATTTTCTGCCGCCCTTAACGGCTGGACAGTTGGTGGCAAACTGCATTGTTGTTGGTGGTGATGGAGGACGTGATAGGACGTGAGAGTGACTGTACACGAGACTGAGGGTGTGATGGGTGGGATAACTTGAACTTCAACTACTTCGGGTCGACATCAGGGTGACTGATACCAATAGATTTCAAACTCTGCTGCACATACTGGAATGAACATAAATCCGAGACATCGGGAACACCAGCAAATAGTTCCACCCGGATCAGGGGTTTTTTGCAGTAAAGATTTTGGATAAACGAATGCGCAACCTACTAGTTCACTGTGAGTGTGGACGAACATGACAAGGCTTTAGGGTGACCACAAACAATTGTAATATCATGTGATTACGCGTATAGTGGCGTACTTTTACCGCGCAACTTGTACTTGTAGAAGGCGGAGCGCGTGGGCTGGGGCCGGGGAAAGGAGAGACAGGCCACGATGCTCTCTTCCCACTAACCTTGCGACCTACGGCGGGTGAAGGAGCGAGAAGGTATATCTATCGGAACAGCTTGGGTAGGCGAGGTTGCCAAGGGCGATTGACATCGGGTGTCTTCTCTTGCTCACAGCCGTGCGTCGGGTTAGCGGGGACGGCAACTAGTGAGGATTATCTGGCTCGCCCACGGTTTGCCCAAGCCCTGAGACATCAAAGGTCCTTTTCGGAGAAGTTGTGTTTCTCTTTGCCCCTTCGCCCAGACCAGACTGGAAGGGAGGAACGGGTGAATGAAGGAAAAAAGGAATATTATGGCCTGTCAGCCTCGGGTCTTTACCCTTAGGACATTCCGTCTTGACACCCCACATCTTCTAGTACATCCGCCCATCCGGCCATGGAAAGCAAGCTAGACAGAAACAACTATCTAACTGTTGTGATATACATCTGTCAGACGCCGCATTCCGGACGTTTATGTTGGAGTCCATGCAGCGCTCAGCAATGACTCGTTAAATCTCTGCCATCAATGTTGCCGCCGCCGTCGTCTATTTTCCTGCTGCAGCGGCCATCCCAACAGCGCAGTCGAGGGGGGCAAGTGCTCTAACTGAGACGAGAATGGGACCGGCCTGCCTGGAGCTACGCGCCCCCTCCATCTAGCCGCAGCGGCTTTTGTCTGTGGCCCCAAGACAGCGGTTTCCTCAACCCGCTTCCATTTCCGCAGACCATCCAGCAGGGACGTGCAACTGGAAGGTTCTCATACATCCACCGAGTTTGCTTCTAGTTGCTGCTGCTGCGGCGGCTTCCTCTACTTGTCATTCCAGCCGCCCGCCCGTCTCGAAACCTTCGAGATAGCGCACCCATGCCAAGTGCATCTCCACTTCCACTTCCATTGCCCCATCCGCTCGATGCTTGGTCTTCGACTGCTACGGGATCGACGGACGGACCCTCTCTTCACTTCTACCCCCCTCAGATCATTCTCGTCAGAGCGGGGGGGGGAGGATTTGCGCTTTGTTGGCCCTCCTGAATTGGCCAGTCCAGCCCTGGTTTCTTATCCTTTTCCTCCTCCTTGACCTTACCCAACCCCAACCCTACTGTCTAACCCTACCGCCGTACCCATACCCTACTCCCATCCCTCCCCAGCTCTATTATCGTTCCAGAATTCAGGCAGCGACTCTACCCGTTCCCGCCATCGTCATCATCATCACCACCACCATTATCATCACCATCAACACCATCTCTACTGGTGCACTCTCGCCACACATCTTTCGCTTCCTAAAAATTATTTTTAGCCTCGGCCCAGTCCTTTTCCCTCCCCATTTCATCCAACTTCTCCCCTTTCTCACCCCTCCCCCGCCGACCCAACCATAACCGTCGCCTTTTCCTCCTTCACTCCTGCGCACGCGCGCGCACATTCTCTTATTCCCCAGCCACCTCGATTCTCCACCTGCGCCGCCCGGCATTCGCCTTCCTCAACTCCTTACCGCTTCAGCTGGTTCCGGCTGCTGTTACTGCGAGGCCTGCCGAGTTCCCCCCGCCCATCTACAATTTCTTCTTCTACATCTCTCCTCTCTGGGATCAGACTAGTCAGAGGTTGGTGCACCCCAAAATCTTTCCCTTTCCTTCCGCGCATCATTGCGCCGCCATCCTCTTTTACAATCTCCTTTACACTCGTCCTGCAGTGTTGACTTGTGTACCTGCATTAGAATAGGCCGTATACTTCACAACTCTCATCGGCCATCTTTACCCATTTCCCGCACCCCTCCCCGCTTGTCATTGCTGTACAACGTCGACGACTAACTGGAATTAACGAGATTAACGACCATAACGAATTTGTGCGCGCCTTTCCACAGTACAATCAACCACAGGAGCCTACGTATCTGGCCCTTCGAATACAGAATCCGTGAAAGATTCAGCCTGGGAAACCAAGCAGCGCAAAAGGAACCGAAGCCAAACTTGTCAAGTCCAAACGTTCGAAAATTACCCTCATCACCGTCCTGAACTGGCTGGTGATATTCACTGAACTAAAACTTAACGCCACTCCCGAAAAGCACTGTCACAAACACTTATCCGCAGCTTAACCGTGCATCGACCACCTTGCGTCCTTCAAACGCAAGAACTGCTCATCTCCAAACGGTCCGTCCACCAGACCCCACACAACCGTGAAGCTGGATCTCCCGTCCATATCTCAGGTCCAAGCCCGTGGACCGACAGACTTGCCATACTATAATCAACACGCGAACCAGCGATCGCTATATGTGAATGAGAGGTTGCCTCCACTTCCATTGCCACCGCCGCAACAGGCCTTCTCTTCCGGTACATCATCTCCACGACTGGGGTCCCTGGGAAACTCTACTCTACTAAACAGTAGCTCTCAATCATCATTCACCACCGCCACCTCATCCAACGGTCCAAAGACCCCTTCGCCAACTTTGCAAAATCATCAGGGCCTTCCAGTTTCTATCAACCACACGCCTTTCCACGGGACTTCTCCTAACGGTCCGGATTACTCATACACTACCGAGCCTTACTCAACCATGAACCATCAATCAGCAGACATGTATTATCCGTCCCACATGTCGGCTGGTCAGCCAAATAACCCCCAAAATGTGTCTACGAGCAGCCTCACACACTATTCACCACATCACCAGCCCCCACTACTACAACCCGGGCCTTCACAATACGGTGGAGCTCCAAGCTCATATGGTCATTACGGGAATTACCCCCATGGTATGGCTTCGCCACAACCAACCGGACACAATGTTTCCAACGCTCTCTGCCAGCAGAATAATGTCCTACCATTGCCACCAAACCTCTCTACATCAAATAATAGTCTAGGAAACAATGGTTATGGATCGCAGCAAGGCTTTGACATGACGGGACAAGTAGCGCCACATGGCATGAAGCCCCGGGTGACTGCAACACTTTGGGAGGACGAAGGAAGTTTATGTTTCCAGGTTGAAGCCAAAGGCGTGTGCGTTGCTCGCCGAGAAGGTAATCAGTCACCTCAGACTGTGTCGTTAAAAACCCACGGCTAATCCACCACAGATAACCATATGATAAATGGAACAAAACTTTTAAATGTTGCTGGAATGACGCGTGGTCGAAGGGATGGAATTCTTAAAAGCGAAAAGATGCGCCACGTCGTGAAGATTGGACCCATGCACCTTAAGGGCGTTTGGTAAATACAAATTCTATGTGCCCCCGTAAATTTCTCCTAACATTCACAAGGATACCATTTGAACGAGCTCTGGATTTTGCCAATAAAGAGAAAATCACCGAACTCCTTTATCCTCTATTTGTCCACAATATTGGAGCACTGCTCTACCATCCGACTAACCAGACTCGCACCAATGCCGTTATGGCTGCTGCTGAGAGACGTAAACAAGAACAGAATCAGATGCGCAACTCTCAAACACCCGGACTCCCGTCCCTTCATCAACATCATCACCACTCTATGAGCGTGTCAATGGCCGGAATGTCAAATGGACCTCCACCAGTTCTCGCGCCACATCCGCACATGGGTCGTGGTAGCCTCGATCGTGGACAGAGCTTCCCTACACCTCCGACAAGTGCGTCTAGCGTTATGGGAAATATGGGCAATTCTGACGGAAATTTTCAATGGGGGCATTCAAATAGTATGAGCAACGTCCCAGTAAATAGTGCTTTATCGATAGATACGGGCTTGAGCAATGCGAGATCTATGCCGAATACCCCTGCATCTACACCTCCAGGTTCAAACATACAAGGCCTGCAGTATCAACAAAGCAATAATACATACGATACAACGCGTCACATGTACAGTACATCGAACAACCAGCATCATCCTTACTCTCAAAATACATCTGATCATTCTGGAATGCCGCGATTCCCAACCACTAATTACTTAAAGACGGACATGGCTCCTCCCGCACGTTCCTCGGTACCCGATAATGAAAACCACACAGACGCTAAAGATGCCTCTGGAATACTGCATCATGGAACTAACCACGCACCACCGGCACCAGATGAGGAACGTGAGCATGATCAGGAAGCAGAATACACCCATGGAAGTACGGCCCACTTTGAACCCAACCGTGCACCTTACAATTATAATCCTGGCCCCACACTCGGATCCCTTGCAGCCGATCACGCGCACCTATCGGAAATCACGGCATCACCAAGCCACTCGAATTCAGGGAGAGCTACGCCTAGAACCGCTAACAATGCGCAAACTTTCTATTCACAGTCAGGTGGATATCACACCCCACCACGAGCACTACCCCCATCAAGCAACTTGTATAACGTAATGAGTGCAGACAGAGGTGCATCCACGAATAACAACGTAAGTGATCTGTATACGGTGCAGACGGAACTCAACCCTCTTCCTGTAAGCTTCTCTGGGCAACCAAACAATTTGCATAGTGGACCAGGTTCCGGGACGAAACGTGTCCGAGACGATGAAGAGGAAACTCGACCTCCTAGCCGTAATTCTATTAATGATATTGATAGCATGAAAAGACGGAAAGCTGTGTCAATATCCGGACCTCCCGGCTATGAGGCGCCAGCACTCGGTCGAGTTCGTTCCCAGATTTCACAGAGGCGCCGGTAGTGAAGCTAATAATTATTTGTCCAAGAACTGGATATTTTAGAGTGTTCAAATTTCCACCTGATTTGAAAAGCACGCTGAGGATTTTTATTCTCGAGGGCTAGCAAAAAATTACAAGATCATCATCCCCGTTTTTCAACGATTTAATGTTTTATCAGGAAATGAATTAACTCTTGAATTTGGATATCTAACGAGAAATTATGATATGTTTGGCATATAATGCCTATTTAAAAACTTTTACTTACCAGAAAGCGATTTAGCGTAAAGGCGCGGATGAAAAAAGAATGGTTCGCCTGATATGTGAATAGGCGCGATTTATATGGAATTCATAAAAATACTTTGGAGGTATAAGCAAGATATTTGACCCTACGCCATGACGTTGCCATGCTCGTTTGATGACTGATGAAAAATCTATATGGTTCACGTTCAGCTCTGGCTTTTTTTGTTTCATATTTCGGTTTTTCCTATCATGTACTGGGGATAATTACGAAGGAAAATATTATGCAGGTGTACATGTTATTTAACGATTTCACGATAGAACAATATTAAAAGTAGGCCTTGTTTTGTTTATATATACTGATTTGATCTCAATATAAACATATACATAGACGTGTGGAATCTGCCATCCACGTTGGAGATTAGGCGTTTGTTAACTGTTCAAGAATACATCTTTCTGCATAGATGATGACAATTTTGAACACGAGGAGCCTAGACAATGAACATCGAGCAGACATGCTCTTCCATTTGTGCCCTCTCGAGATTGAATACTACCTAGTTTTTCTTCTGGACTTGCACTTAGCTAACTTGGGACCAACTCCCCCTGTGCCGTAACGTGCAACAAAATGGTCGGCACTCAAGTTCAAGCTATGACTAGAGATGTGCCAAGGCGCACTAAGTCACCTGTGATCGGAGGCCACGTCTGGCCGCCGCTGCCACGGCTAGGGTTATAGTGAATGGCCCGGGCCTAGACCGCGATGCCAGAACCAAGGTGAGAACCGGTTCCACAGAGGGCGGGGAGGTGTGTCGCAGTGTATTAGGCCCGGTAGTTTGGCCAATTCTAGTCATACTTACAGCGGAAGTTCTATCCATTCAAATACGGGAGATCAGAATTAGAATGCTGTTAGTTTGTTGATTTTTGTCACTAGATAGGGGCCTGAACACGTGAATCCATGCAACACCTAGCTTATGAACACGCCTCAATGTTTTTTAAACCAAACGATCATCTGCTCGAATGCTACAGCCTGTGCTCTGCGTATTTTAGCATCTGTGTATTCTCCAACGACGCCAAATCCATGTGGAACATTTGGGTGTATATGGAACTCGCACTCAACATTTAGACTTTTCATCAGCTCTTCACCATATTTTCTTACCTCGTCGGCAAAAAGCTGATCGTTCTCAACACACACGAACGCTAGAGGTGACTTGACACCGTCAAAGTCCTCTTTGGCGACGAGTGTAGCATGAGCTATGGCGCCGGCCTTGATATAAGGACCTGATTTTGTTCTACCTGTTTCTTCGTCCGGTATTGATTGACCCCACATTGAAGACATGGTCATGTCGAGCTTTTCACTTGCTAGAAGCAGAGTCATCCTTCCGCCAAAACAATATCCGACGCAATAGACGCCTCCCCCATGAGAGATGGCATCGGGAAAATTTTCGTAAGCCCCATCGATGACTTTCTTAATAAGAGGTAAAACTTTCTCAGGGGTTTGCCTTGCTAACCACATGTCAATTAAAAAGCTCTTGGCTGTCTCAGCTACACGATACTTCATTTTATCAATAATCGAAGGATCTTCTTCCTCCACATACGTTGCTGTGCCTGGAAGGGGATCATTGGGAAACTGATCCGGAAGGAGTACGAGAAAGCCCTCGGCGGCAAATTTATCGGCTTGGATTTGGTTGTTAAGTGAATGCAGCCCTGTCGCGCCAGTTAAGAAGAGTAAGAGCCTCGACGGTGTCTGTGGATATCCGGCAGGTCTTGAGATGTATACGTTAATTCCTTCAATTTGTATTACTTCTCCAGTTGGTCCTTGGCCAAAAGCTGTTTCTCCATCAGCCCAAGCTGGTACGCATTCCAAAGCACTCGAGATACTGACGTGTCGGCCGATCTGTTTTACAATGCTCCTACCATAAATTAGTCTGTCTGTTATAGACATTAGATGACAATATTGAAGAATACCCCGATTCGAATCCTTGTATTGTTAGCCTTTTGTACCAAAATGTTTCTCAAAAACTCACGATGGCTTTTCTTCCTCCATCTCTTGATTTATAGCAGTGGCTTCAGCTTCTGTCATGTAATTTAGTTAGTTGCGACTGTTCTTGACCTACACCGGAGTTGTGACAATTAAATCATAGACGTCTGGATAGGTCATACTACAATTTTTTATGTAGATCGTTCCTATCGAAATATCGATTAGTCAGGTGGGGTAAGTACTATTTATAGAGTCTAGATTTTGGATGGCTCATTGGTATACTTTCTGTGTCTCGAGACCACAACAGTTTTAAGCCCAGCTGCCTGCTCTCCTGACCACATGGAACGAAATGGGAAATATGACGGAGTTACTCAGTGTTGTGAGCCTCGCTGACTCTCATATATGTCTTCTCATTTTTCTCCTTGTAGAATTTGGTCAAGTATCAGTTTTACAACCCATTTCCTCACATAGCTCCTCTATACCAAGTTTTTACCCGCTACACTAGCTCTTACTGCTGCATCATCACCATTTTCCTTTTTTTTGCATCAGATTTGAATTACATATGCGCCTTTCTAGCTATGACATAATATCAAAGAAAAGTACAGAATAGATGATTCAACGTAAAGGAAGAGTACTCATGCCTCAGATTTCATTTGCAAGTACCACTGCGAAGTTATGGCGGCTTTTATTTAATCCCAAGTCAACCCTCATCCATGAATATCCACTCAGGGGAGCGTATCAAAAACCCTGAGTTATCCAGACATGCCTCCGTCATCCATTAACTTTCCTCCGCGCGAAATGTGGTCTGAGGCGTCTCCTTCCCAAATGAAGTAGGTGCCCAGGCTACTCAAACTATACCAGAGAGCACCACCAGAAGCGGACCACGACACCTTCCATATTATTAACTCATTTACTTGTCCTATCTGAGTCTATGACTATGTAGGACATGCAGGTATCTCTGCCTCAGGCCAAGGTCGCCTATCTAAAAAGTATCCCCTCCTATGCCTCCCATACAGCTCCCTTCAAACAGTACCACCCCTCCTAAGTCCTCATTCGATCATAAATTTAGAGAAGCCCTTTGCCCTTCATTATCTTCCCTCTCCAGCCAACGAATCGATGGCTATTTGCGGGTGTGTGGAAGCTGGGAAAATTCGCAAAAATAACTGGGTATGGGGCTTTTCTGATGCCGACATTAGGACTAAATCCGAAAATATAGGGACCCTTCTGAAGTGTTCAAAGAGGCCGGCCAGCTGGGCGCTACAGACTTGGGGGTACCTCGGGGAATTCGCCCTCTGCCTTTCTAGCCTCCTTCCAACTCCTTCCCGAAGGTCGTGCTGAAATGTCAGAAAAGTCTTGACAGAGCGTGATTGCTGTATGGTAGCTTAGCCCAACTTCTTTTGTGCCGTCTAGGGCGCTGGAGAGTGTTGTTGACTCACGGACAATGGAAGTATTCCTGGCTAATTTGCCGAAACCTCGATCCTGGCGACCACAAAAGTTCCAAAGTTCCAAAGTTGAAAAAGTCCCAACATGGTCTGTAGAGACCTCATCCCCCTCTGGCTCCACATCTCAGCCGCCTACCCTCCCTCAAGTTGTTTGTCCCATTAGAGCAAAAGTCTCCCATAAGCCAGGACCCAGGCTTTGAAATTTTCGGCTTGATTTCCTCGCGGGTATAAATAGCGTCGTAAATATGTAGTCGGAGATGGCAGGTAATTAATTGGGCAAGCTCCTGTTTGCAATTGGAGCAACTTTTTTATCGGTCGTTGAGGCGAGATGATGTGTGATTAGAAAGAGGTTGAGGACTCAGATGATAATTATGAGAGAGGCATTGTCGAGAAATCATCTAGAGGAGATGTGCTTGAGATTGCTTTTGACTTTGATTCAGATGCGATTCTTTTTGGCCATCCCGGATTTGCAGAACATATTGAGCGAGTACACCGGCACCACTGGAAGGTGAAAAATTCGTCTATGCCGGTATAGTACCTTCCATAGTCCGCTTGTTTTTAAAGAATCAGCTGCACCCTCGCAATCGAAGTCTTGGCGCGCAAAAAGCCCAATCTGTAAAACTCCTTGCCAAACTTCACAATTTAACGCCGATAAAGATAGTATCCATCCTCTGCATCATCTTGTGAAATTATCCTGATTTCTCTCACGTCCGTCCCAAAGAACTGTCTCCCAGATTTGTCCGCCACGCTTTGCTTGCTCCTGCGAGTATAAATATCGGCGTGGGCGTGTATTTGGTGAAGAGCCGAGGACAGAGAAAGTCGATGACAGGTGTAGTTATTGGAATGAGGATGTACTAAGACGTACCTGTAAACTTGATGAGGTCTTGGTGGGGATTAATCTCGTTGGGAGTCGAAGATTGACATGAAGGAGTGTTTTGAATCATTGCCTCGTGGGCCAACGTATTTGGTATTGCGAAATTCGACTGAAATTGGCTCTAAGTAAATATTTCACTCCCAGGTTTGTGGAGGACAACGCGTAGAGGTGTTTAGTCTTGCTCTCCGCACCATCACTATGGATGCCGCAAATCTAGGAAAGTAATTTCATCGAAGATTGCTTCGCATTGATAATGCAATGTTGAACGTAGGACCAGAACGTGATACGGACCCCAACTCACCTGGTAATTTTTAAAAATTATCAACCCACGTCACAGTAGAGAAGGGCGTATGATCAGCCATAGCAACACGCATGAAAAAAATCATACTTGTTTGGAGACGTTTTTTAATAATTACTAGTGGGGAGCACACACATTTGGAATCTTACAGTGGAGAGCATCACCAAACTAGTAATGCCTGGGAAAAATATAGCTAT